TATTTATTTGATTTTTACCCTGCCCCTCTAGATCATGTGTGAATATATGTGTGAAAGAGAGAGAACCTGAGTGAATGGACCTATTCTTACTCATTTAAGTTTTAGCATTTGTTTTTAAGAAAGCACTTTTTACTAAGAGCTACAGAACATTATACAAGACCATGCTCTGTTGTGGTTTAGGTGTAGAGATAAGTTGGAATTGTAGATCTCCTTGCCAATCTTCTTATGGGGATCATCATTGCCTGCAGCTGCAACATTAACTACATAGAGAGTGTCACTGTGATGGCTAAGAAGCTAAGCTGTGAAGGTAAAGGTAAACGTTCCCCTTGACATTTTTAGTCAGTTGTGTTCGACTCTAGGGGTGGTGCTCATCCCCATTTCCAAGCCATAGAGCCAGCGATTGTCCAAAGACAGTTTCCGTGGTCACGTGACCAGCGCGACTAGACATAGAACGCCATTGCCCTCCCACCGTGGTGGTACCTATTTAGCTACTCGCATTTTACATGCTCTCAAACTGCTAGGTTGGCAGGAGCAGGGACAAGCGACGGGAGCTCACTCCGTCATGTGGATTCGATCTTACTACTGCTGGTCTTCCGACCTTGCAGCACAGAGGCTTCTGTGGTTTAACCTGCAGCGCCACCATGTCTCTGTGAACAAGAGTCAAAATCTCAGCTCTGCCACAAGTTAACTGAATGGCTCCATTATTCTGTTGGCTTCTGCCCCCTCCACATGTTGGGAAAACAGTACAGTAGTAACCTACATTATCAAATGGTTGCAAAAGACGGCAGCAGACTCCTGCACTTATGACCTAACTGGTTTCCTGACAACGGTCATCAAGTGAGCTGTTATAAATTCGACCTTAATTTCTCATTAGGATCAATGTTAAAATAGAGGCTGGTTTCTGGAAAACTGCCATGTCTTAAAATTAGAAAATTATGAAATTGAATTTTAAAAAAACAGATCAAACTGTATATCCTTGCAGAAACATTGTTTTCAGATTTACAGAAGGCCTCTGTTGTCTTCTCTCTTCATTATTTTCTCTATCAGGAATGAAAAAAACACATCTAGGTGCCACATAACCTTAGTAAATTAAACTTATAAGACTCTATTTTACTAAAACTATATAGCCACTGTATTAATAAAATTGTCCCTATACCCCCAAAGTCTACATCAGTGGTCCCCAACCTTGGGCCACCAAATGTTCTTGAACTACAGCTCCCAGAAGCCTTCGCTGCCAGCTATGCTGGACAGGATTTCCGGGAGTTGAAGTCCAAGAACATCTGGGGACCCAAAGTTGATGACCACTGGTCTACATTATTATTAAAATCATGGTGTGTTTTCCAAATTAGTTTCAAATCATGCCTTCCAGCCCAAGGAGGGAAATTCCTTAGAGTACAGTTGCTTACAGCTATTGCTTTAGTTAATTAAATTTATTTAAACATCTGTATCCTGTTTTCCATAATTAGAATAAGATCAAAACAGCTGGGAACTTCACAGTAACTGTACAGTTTATTAGCCCAAAGTTTTCTTTACAAGTCAGACTCGTATGAGTATTTAAATAGCAAGGCAAATATCACTGGAGAAAATATTCTAGAAGCTGATGTGCAACAGAAGGTTAGAGATACACAGATGCACACACCGAAAAGAAGGGTCCCTAAAGGTATAGTATTGTGTTCCTAGGCTGTGTGTTGTTAATATGCCATTAACATAACTGAAGATGGAAATGGATTCACTATGAATGACTGGCCACTAAACTGTTCCATCAACAGTCCTGCCTACCTTTTGCAGACTCAAAACTTGTGGGTTCCTTTATGGAATCAATCTGTTTATTAGATTTTTCTTTTCCCCCCATTGCCATAAACTTTTCTCAACATTACTATATTTTCCACTGAATCTGATCTCTTGGTGTGCCCAAAGTACAATAGTCTCAGTTTAATCATGTTTGCTTCTAGGCAGAGTTTAGGCTTCATTCACTCTACAGCCCACTAGCTTGACTTTCTTGAGATCCTTAAAGCTTTTCTCCAACGCCGCATTACATGTGGACAGATCCTTTTTCTGTCACCTTTTTTCTCTGTCCAGCTTTCACATCCATGCATAGTACATAGTTGCTTAGAGATTTCAACATTAGGGCTAGGGTTTAGAATTGGGCCCCAGAGTAGACTGGCAGCCAGTTCAGCTGAAAACTGGTGCAGTGATGAAAGCAGAACATTGAACAACAGATCAGTAGTCTATCTGCTGGACTGTGAACGAATTGTGAAGTTTCCAAACATAATTGCAATTAGCAATAGAAATTGATTTTCCTTCAAACTCTGATCTATCCCTGTTTCTATAGCTGGGTCTTTCTTGTCCCCCACTTTTTTCCCTTCACTTTTTTCTCTGACAAATTCTGTCATTAAACTAATTATCTTCCAAACCCTCAACCCCCTCTTTTCCTCCTCTCCAACCTGCCCTCCTGTTCATTCCCCCGGTTAGTACACTTTATTACCTTTTTAATTTATTCCAAACATAGCTGAATCCTGGGATATGCTGAAGAGCAACTTGTTTTGGTGTACGTTTTGACACCGATGCACTGTCATCTGTTAATTGTTAAAATGGCATATGGCTTTTCTAGGCAGAATTCAGGCTTAATTTGCGCTAAAGCCCACTGGCTGTGGAGATTAGCATAGCTGCTCTTTCATTCATTGCTTCTGTAGATGCATAGGTATGGAAGTGATCTATCCGAATGGCTTGTCTGTTCAATGATGCCAAGCAACAATCTAATCAGAACACACTTGTCTGGAAAAGTGAGTATGTTAATTCATGGCAGGCAGCAGGAAAGCAAAAGATGCTGCAACACCTTAGGGATGCCTGGTTCAAAACACTTATTTAAGGAACAGCTCTAAGAATTCACCAACTATTGTGCCTATGCATAACAAACCTGGAAAGAAAAACAATCTTTACAGAGAATGGTTGGACAACTGTAGCTGTTAAAGTGCCGCTTCTATAATCCCTCACTACTGGCTTTGTTGGCTATGGCTAATGGGAGTTGCAGCACAGTTACTACCTTTGTTATAGAGGCAAAATTACACATTCAAACCAGTTCTTTCTTTCATTCAAGACTGAGGCTCAAAAGAGTAAACCTCCCTCCCTTGCCCTGAGGAAACTTAGGTGAATGAGATCTGAGGACTGCTTGTCTGCACAGAAAAATGGATGACTATACAGTAAATGCTGTAGGATGAATGATTGAAGGAACATTCCTGCAGTTTGGAAAGAGGCTGTTACGGTGACTCTCTTATTCTGGCTTAGCTTGAGGACTCTGAACTCTTGTCACAAATTTGCCGCATGAGGGGCCATGAGGGCACAGCCTGATAACAGGATACTGTATATTTTTGGGTCTTGGCAGCCTTCAGGAGAGGAAATGCAGCATGAGAAGAACCAGACCAAATGTTACAGGAGGCATAGAGTGCTGGTGTGATGTTGCCTGTTCAGCTAACAAAGTCCTTTGCTCTGCACTGCGTATGCACTGTGACTCTCTTCCCACATTCTTCCGTCCTGCCATGTGGTGCAATTCAACATTGTGTCACTGCTGAAAAAGAGGCATGCTTGTTGTTCAGATAAACAGACCCTGCTAAACCCTCAGACTATGCAACTTTATAAAGCTTAATCCTGTTTCAAAAGAAGTCGTTTAACAGTGCTGACTCAAGACATTTGCCATTTGAGACCAAGAATAAGTTGAAGCCAGCCTCATTCTGACTGCAGATGCCAAGCAGCCTGGATTTGACAGTTCAAGAAATGGAATTGGGCTCCTTCAGGCAGTGGTTTTGTATAGTGCAATATTTCCCAACCTGGGGGGTCTCCTTATATGTGTTGTATCCCTTTCTTTTACTAATTTTTTTTGTAACTTCAGAGAGGAATATTAAAATTAGTGTATATATGAAAAACAGCCCCTTGGGAGGAGAAAGATGCCTCTGCTTTCTGAAAAGGGATGCCCTTACCCCATTAAAAATGCTTTTTTATGCAGACATTGTGGTGGCGGGTTGCAGGTTACTTGGTTACTATTATAAAAGGAGTTTGCAACATGAAAAAGGTTAGAAACCACTTGTTTAGATTATGCATATACCACTTTGTCCCCTCCAACAAGTTTGTTGGTACTTTGCGCTTCCCAGCATTTGCTGCACGAGCTGGCCTCTACATCCTGTCTTAGTGGCCAAGCTGATCCTATTTCAGAGGAACTGTAGCCATAACTCACAGCAGTATATCAACACATAAAATGGGGATATCTTTTTGCTGTAGTACAGAAAGATGTAACTTTTGGGTGATGCAGTTGAAGCACCCGAACAATCCATATCATCTGCCACGCTTCTCTAGCTTCCTGTGGGCCACCAGAAAAAAAGAAAAAATGCATCTGAACCCCTAGTAGTGTGAGGGAGTCCTGCCAACATCCTTTTTTTTTTGAAGTTAATAAATGACCCCTCCGCCAACCCTAGTGCCTTTTTAAAAGTGCTTCGCATGGGAAATTTAACAGGTGAAGCTTCCCCAGCCTGCAAGCCAGTGGTCCCCCCCCCCAAAAAATGAGGAAAAATTCGTCCTCCTGTCAACTGAAACCCCATCAAATTCGAAGGAAGCTTGGCTCCGCTTTTCCTGAGGGAAAGTCATCAGGCGCCCGAGGGGGACGCCTAAATTCCCACCCCTAGCCTAAACCCATCCACCTCCCGCCCATCCGAGCGCCCTTGAGCCCCGCCCCGCGCTCCCTTCCGCCCAATGGGCTTCGCCTTTAGCCCGCCCGACGAAGGGGGCGGGGCTATTAAAATGAAGCAGGAAGGCTGGTCTTTCACGCTTTTGGGGGCCTTTGACCGAGGCGTGCTCCGCCCCGCGTTGCCGCTGACGGAGCCGCGTTGCGAGGACCCTCTCGGGCGCTGCTCGCTCTGCTTCCAGCAGCCGTTGCCGCCTCTTCCTCTTCCTCCTCCTCTTTTCAACCTTGGTCTTCACCCCCCTCCCTCCCTTTCCCTTCTGCTTGAGGCGGCCGCTGCTCTTTCCTCCCCTTCGCCCGCCGTGTCAGGTCCGCCGGTCGCGTCTCGCCATGACCTTGTTGACTGCCAGCAGCAGGGCGGCCGCGCGCCTCTTGGGGGCCAAGGTGAAGGAGGTTCTGATTCCGAAGTTCTATATATATATATTTGGTGTTCTTTCTCCCCCCCTCCCCCCACACTCCTCAGTTCCTTTTTTTTGGGGGGGCGCGAAAGATCCTTAAAAGGGCCGCGCCCATTGTCGGTCTTTGGGGAAGGGTGCTTTAAAGGGGCCGCGCGGTGGTCGGCCGGTCGGCCCACGGGGTGGTGGTCGGTCTCTCTTGTAGCTGTGAAAATGGTGGTGGCGGAGGCGGCGGCCTGTGGTGGGGATCGCTGTCCTGGGAATGCGCCCGCGCCGTGACTGGGCCCACCGGCAGTCCGAGGCTGTGCGATCTTTGTTGGCGAGTTATTCCCCCAAAGTATTCTAGGTCAAGATTGCAATTTCACTGGAACCTGAAAGACTTGGCGGGAGGTAGGTGGGTGGGGGTGGAGAACTTACTCTTGGTGTGGTTACGAGCGAGTAAAAGGGTGAGTACGTGTATACACATGTGCAGAATATTTTCTGCCCTTGGGTTGGGATCGTCTCCTTTTTCTGCCTACCTTAATCTTTCAAAGAAGTGGCACTGAATGTAGGGCATTTTAAATTATCTCTTTCTGTTCCCTCGTCCGGATCCCTCACAGCATAAATGAAATTAGAAGTAGAGCGGGATTGTCCTGGATTTTTTTTCTGGATGAAGTAAAAAAAAAAAGGCCTCAAAGAAAGGCAGGAGGCTTGGGAGGTGGAAATCATGCGGAGTGACTTTTGGGGAGGAAGCTGCAGCCCCTCCTTCCTTCCCCAGTGTTATGAGGTGCATCTTTATTCTGGGATGCCCTGATACTGTTCTCTTGGGAATATGGGGTCTTGACAGTGGCAGCCTAATTTTTCCTCTCCACCATTCACAGGGCGTCCAGATCAGAAGCAGCTGAATTATTCTGGCAGCAAAGAGCTTATAGGTTTGGTATTTAGGGGAAAGGTGTGCCATGATTATACTGATCTCTTTTTTTTAAGCATGTGATTGAAGTAGTTAAATGTTGCTGCTTTAGTTGGTGGAATCATGGCAGAGGGGGAGGGCTGGGTGCCCCCTTGCCTGAGCACCTAAAGAAAGGTGTTTGCAGGGTGTCTAAAGGATAAGGAGGTCAGTGGTCAAAGGGTAATCTTTCTTTCCCAGCTGTGCTGAGTTTTACACCGTTGCTGCTGCTTCTCTTATTTTGTGGCAAGTGGGTCATTGGTGCTATTTGTTTCTAATGTTCTGTTTTTAAAGATGGAGGTAGTTCTAGCAGTTGTGCCATATATGAATCTGTATAAATCAGGGGCTCTTGACTGGCTTCTGTCCCAGCGGGAACACTGTGTGCAAATTAGGCCTCTTACAAGGAAGATGCCTTGTAAAATGACATCTTCCTTTTCTTTCTCTTTCTCTTCCTCTTGGTTGTGACAGACACAGTTAAAGTTGTGGAATGTGTCAGAGGCATTTAACACCACTCAGCTGCTCACATCCTGTAACAGGTGAAAGCAGTTTTCTGAGGCAGAGATTGCCCCTGTTTCATTCCCCCCCCCATGGTTTATATTCTCCCTTGGCACTGCTTCCTTATCTGCCTTCTACAAAAAGTTCAATAGCTTGTTTGCTGTTGTCTGGCTGGAAAGTCTGTCCATGACCTCTTTGTAGGGCGAAGGGCCCCTTGACAATTTTATTTGGACTCCAGACCTATGCAGTTCCCCAGCAAATTGATTACAAATGACAGATGCCAGCGCTTTTATTTCTGGCTTATTTACTTTTCCCCAGTCCTGGCTCTTCTCCCCCGCCCCATTTTGTTGTGCTTGGATTGCATTTTGGTGGTGGAGGAAAGTTGCTGTGCCAGTTCTGTCTGGGGCAGATAGTGCTTATAGACAATAAGGCATAAAGAGTGAAATTAAAATTAGGACATTCTTAGCATGTATCTGAAACAAAAGCCTGATGACCCAGACTTGTAGTGACCCATGTAAGCTCTTCATCTTTATGCTTCTAATCCTCTCCCAGCCATCCTCCCCTTGGCCTTTTTGATCACTGTCATTGTCTTTTTGTGTTCAAATGTGCTTCTTGTGTACTGCCTGTTATTTCCTCTTCAGAGAGTTAACTGCATTGCTAGCATGCTTAACTTGGTTATTCATTCTGATACCAGGGTATCTAGAGATGCTAGTACAGTATTTTCTAGAATCTGCAAAATGGTGATTTTTTCTTTTTAGGGGTTTGGGGGAAAATGAGGATGTTTTACAGAGCTCATGCCTTAATTGAGTTACAGTAGTAATAGAATCCAGCCCATTGACTTCTCACCCATCTGTTGGGCTCAAATTAAGGATGGCTATACTGAATCTCAAAGAAGAATCTCTTCCTTTCCCAGCAAGCATTTTTCATAGGTGGCAGTAGCTACTCCGTGTACATGATTGAGTGACCTTAGTAGCAATTAAAAATTTGGGCAGGCAGCAGGATATATTGTGGGTGCAGTTCAAGAGCCTTTGTCAGGGGTTATGAGCATATTCTGTAGAACTGTTTGTTGTCTCTGGGCTGTTTGTGTTGTTGACTTTTGGCCCTGCAGAGTGGGCTGCAGTGGTGGCAGAGAATAATGCCACTGTCTTGCGGTCCTCCTTGCTCCTCCAGGGGATTTCCCAACCCTTTGCTCTTGATGCAGCCTCAAATGTTTGCAGTTTTGTGTGAATTCTGTTGATAATTCTTTTAAAAGTGTCTGTGAACTTCTTTTACAGAGAAGTGTAGGATACCTTGTGCATGCCTTACTAGTTTGGTTTATTCTAGCAGTTGTGGTTTCTAGTTTTACAGAGATAGGATACGGGGAGTGCTTTTTAGTGAGTCAGACCTTTGTTCCATTTAGCTCAGTATTAACCAACACTGACTGGCAGCACTTCTCCAGGGTTTCAGGCAGGAATTTTTCCTAGCCCTGCCTGGTGTCATCCTTGGATAGAAACTGGGACTTTTTTTATACTGCAGATCGGCAATGCCGTTGAACTGTGGACTAGATTGTGAGTGGCTTGGGCCTACCCACAATGGCCATGTAAACTTAATTTTAATGCTCCTGATTTCTTCCCCTTCCAGCCAGTTTCTCCTGTGGAGTGATTGGCCTTCTCCCCACTCTGGCTGAGAAACAAGTAGTAAGAGGACTGCCTCTTAGTTCTCTATTTTCCACCCTGTTGCAACAACTCAGCATTGGTTGCTAGCAGCCAAGAGAGGAGGCAGTCCTACCATTTTCTGTTTGTGTACAGTCATAATCATTCCGTGGCACAACGTGGATAGATGTGGAGCATGCTCATTGGAAATCACGGTAATGTAATGTCAAGCTAGAATGTACTTGTTTTGTCCTGTCCTGAAAATTCAGTTCATGGAGTTGAGGCAGGTTTGGGTAGCTGTGAACAGGTGCTCTGCCTGCAGTGACAGTGGTAAAACTTGCTTCTTTTCCGAAGTGTTCTGGATTACAGGTAAAGGCAGTAAAGGCAGAAATTAGAGGGGTGTGTGCTTGTGTTCTGTGAAGCATTAGCAGAGGAGCTAAGATTTATGTTTTGATAGGGTGCACCTAAGAACAGTTTCCTGATCTTGTGGTCTTCACCTGTGTTTAAGGGTGAGGCAGTGAATGTGCTTGGGCAGCATCCACAACCACAATCTGCAGTTGTGCAACTAGATTCATATATGATTCAGAAACTGACTCCCTGTCAGTGAGTGCAATATAAGTATGCACCCAGCAGTTGCACCAAGAGGTGAGGTGCTGGTTGTAAGCAGAACTCTGCAAGTATCTGTGAGAATTGCACCGAATAGGCTACTCATCACCACCACAGGCCTTCACTGTTCCTTAGTCTCGGGGATTGTGACCCCCAGGAGGTCTCCGATGGTGGCGGGAAAGCCCTGGGAGACCTCCTGGGGTCCCCCGTCGCCATTGGAGACCTCCTGGGGGTCCCTTTTCCTAACCATTGGGGCAAAAGAACAGCCTCTTCACCACCAACGATTTGAATGGAACGGAAAAAAAGGCAGGGGAAATTTGAATTTCCCACCCTTTCCCCCTGTCTTTTTTTGTTAGTAGGTCCTCCCGCCCTTTTCCCCTGCCTTTTTTTGTTAGTAGGTCCAGGTTTTGTTCGCAAGTCGATGCAAATTTTTGCGAACGGACCAGTTCATAAGTTGAAATGTTCGTAGGTAGGGACGTTCACAAGTCAAGGTTCCACTGTACATAAAAGTTCGTAGGTAGGGACGTTCACAAGTCGAGGTTCCACTGTACATACTGTAGAGTGACTACATATTTGTTTAATATGTATTCAAAAATGTAGCCATATGAGTACAGTTTCAACAATAACAAGAAAGTAACTGGTGCCTTAAAAATAATTTTATTTCAGTACCTACTTCTTTGGAAAAGTTGTTTGAGTTTGAAGAAGTGGGTTGTAATCTGTGAAAGCTGTGAAATAAATTTGGTGGTCTTAAAGGCACCACACTACCTTTGGTTTTATTTTTTTGTTGCATACAAACAAGTAAAGGGTATTTGGAACAGTTGTGCTTGCTTGGGTTTTATTCCTTGCAGAACGCTCTCTCTTCCTGTTGTTTTGTTGTGTGTTGCAGGGCCATCTCCCATCTCATGCAATGGTTTTGACCTGAGAACAGCTGCCTAGGATGAGACCAGGGACTGCTAAAGTATTTGTCTAGCGGGACCCAGTCTTGCTGCTTTTCTTTGTTTCACTGAATTGGGAGGTGTGGTGTGGAGAGGGATGGGAGAGACACTGTCAGTTTGATTTTTTTCTAGTCTGAAAATGAAGAGTGTTTCCTAGCAGGTGCTGTGGGGAAGTTTTGTGTCAAGACAGGCATGGACAGTTAAAATGCCAACGTCACTCATCTGATGCATGGAGGCTTCCCCCCTTGTGAGTTAGCAGTTGCTGGTAAGGTGGCCCTTTGTCTTGGCCAGGCTGCGTCATCCAGATACTGATAACAAGGTTAGAATGACATGGAGGTACTTGGCTGGCCTTGCCACTGTAATTGCACTTATGTTGGCTGAATCCTACTGCGTGGAGCTTCGCATC